AGAGAGAAGAAACAAACAAGCAGAAAAGTGCAGCCAAACAACAAATCCCTGCCTTCAATGTGGCTTCTGTGTCCCCGCCTTACTGGGGACCAGCCAGCCCCAGGCCAGCTCCAACCGCTGAAGCACATAACACTATCCCTGGCTGGGGGATAGAGCACATGAAGCCAGCCTAGCCTCTTTAACTAAGACAGCAGGGGCTTCATTAGAGGCATTTTAAAAATAAATGAAGGCCTGGCACCTATAATCCTAGCACTCTGGGAGGCCAAGGTGGGAGGATCCCTTGAACTTAGGAATTTGAAACCAGCCAGCATGAGCCAGAGCAAACCCTCTAAAAACAGCAGGGCATTGTGGCGGGCGCCTATAGTCCCAGCTACTTGGGAGGCTGAGGCAAGAGGAGGATCACTTGAACCCAGGAGTCTGAAGTTACTGTGAGCTGTGACACAATGGCACTCTACCAAAGGCGACAAAATGAGACTTTGTCTCAAAAATAAAAACAAATGATAGGAGGCTGGGCAGAGTTGCTCACACCTGAAATCCCAGCAGTTTCAGAGGCCAAGGCAGAGGGATTATTTGAGCCTATGAGTTCCAGACCAACCTAGGCAACATCTCTACAATGAGACCTCATCTCTACCCAAAAAAAGGTAGCTGGTGGTATGCACCTGTGGTCCAGCTCCTTGGAAGGCTGAGGCAGGAGGATTGCTTGAGCCCAGGAGTTTGAGGCTGCAGTGAGCTCTGATGGGGCCATTGCACTCTAACCTGGGCAATAGCTGTGTCTCCAAAAATAAGCGGTAGGGTCGGGAGGAAGAAATCTCGCTTCTTTTGTAATGGCAAATGTGATTACAGGAGCTGTCTTCTCAGCTGACAAAATGGCACTTTCCTGGGTTTTCTTTGCAAGGGAGCTGGGTGGGCAAGAACCCAGCATTCAAATCAAGGTATCGTCTGAGCCCCGTTTGCTTTGCTGGGTTTGTGGCTGTTAGTTTCTCCCCACCAATCACCACCAGCCATTTTCCAAAGTTATCATTACTACTGTTTTTTTTTTTTTTAAGGCATTGCTCATTTTAGAAAGCTGTCTGTCAAAAATGCTTAAAATAAAAGCAGACTTGGCACTTGAAGGAATAAGTACCATTTATCTTGAAAGTCACTTGGGTGAGAATTTCTCAGCGAGGTTGAGCATGTGAACTGTTGATGTACTTGTAAGAATGCCAGTGCAGGTGTCTATGGTCTGTGGCCTTTGGAGAGTGGGCCTTTTTAAGTTATTTATTTATTCAACAAACATGTTCTGAGCACCTGCTGTAGGCCAGGTGCTCTCCTGGGCCTTGAGGGAACCAGGTGGACATGGTCACTACCCCACAGAGCCAGTCGTATTCTAGCGGGCTTCACCAGCCACTAGACAAGCCTCAGAAGTCCCCTGGAAGAGAGAGCAGGTCAAGGCACTAGGGCAGGGTGGAAGAAAAAGGCGAGCAACAGGGCCAGTGGCCTTGCTGGAGAGAGCTTTGCCCACCTTCGTCACTCTGTCTTCTCACTGGCTTCAGGAAATGTGTGTTGTTACAGTTAAGCCAGGGGCTTGCCTGTCTGTGGAGCCTGTGTCTTCACACTTTGTGGCACAGCCTCTCTGGCTGCAGGTGTGGACTAGTTTCTGAACCATGCAATTCCCCATGTGGGGCTAGACCAGCTCCTCTGGTCTCCACCTCACTTGATTGCTCCTCTGCCACTTAAGTCTGTTAGTGGACTTGGACGCTGACAGGTCTGCACAGGCCACACCATGTTCATTCTTGTTCTCAGAGCTAATGATGATAGCTGAAGTTTTTTTGTTTTGTTTTTTAACCACAACATTTGTAATGTCAAGAATCCCTAATGAGGACAATCAAATAAACCATTAGTTTGAACACAGCTATCAAATTAGGTCTAATCTATTAATCTGCTGATTGATGGTAGGCATTAGCAAGTCATGGTGTCGTCAAATCTAGGAACAACCAGGGATCTTAGACCAGCCCTTTTGTTTTTGAGAAGGGATATTGAGATACTGGATCAGGGTTAGGGGATGGTGCAAGGGCTTTGGCCCTATGCTCTGTCCAGCTGGTCACCTGATGCTTCCAGTGGACCTCAAACCGTCTTCCCCTTGGCCTTGCTGATAAAGCTCTGCTGTGGAGTCAGATTATGGGTGTGGGAAGACCACAGCCTTCCCACAACTGGTTAGCGGGCCTCACTTGGCTGGCAGCACTTCTCAGCTCATTGCAGCAACCATGAGCCCAAGGGGGAGAGCTCAGAAACCCCAGATTCCTGATCATAAAGGCTGTGTGATGAGACAGAATAAGAATTAAAGGAAACAGGCTGATCACACAGTCAGGGAAACTGTTCCAGTATGAAGACGAAGTGGGACACGGACAGTGGGACACGGACAGTGGGACACGGACAGTGGGTGACGCTCCTTTGCCTTCTGCTGTGTAGCAAAGAGGATTGTGAGCCCTCAGGGATCAGCCCCCATGGCCTCTAGCCACTGTCTCTCCCAGTGCTTCTGCCTGTCCGGGTTTTCAGTTGCTGGAACATTCCACACTCCACTTGCCTCCAGGCCTGTGTCCTTTCTGCTGCCATCATTCCTCCTCCGCCCTCGGTGCTTCCAGCTCCACTGACTGATGTTCCTACCTGAGATTTCGTTTTAGATGTCCTTTCCTCCACAAGACATTCAAAACCAGATCCAGTTTCGGATGAAAGGTGCATTTGCCCTGCGTGTTTTCTTAGCGCTGCTCTGGATGCACTGACTGCAGCCACTGTCCTTCGTTCTCAGGTGACAGACCACGCCACCACTGCCCTGCTCCACTACCAGCTGCCCCAGATGCCAGACGTCGTGGTCAGGTCTTTCATGGTAAGTCAGTCTCCTCTTTATAACTTGGCTCCCTTCCATTGAAAACAGGCAGCCCAAAAAGTAGCTGTTGTGTCTCCAGATTTGAGGGCCTTCCAGTGGGAGATGCAATGCCGGTTTAAAACTGAGATTTTCTTGAAACTGGGAAGGAATCTGGAGAAATCACTTCCAGCGTAATTAACTGGTGTTTTCTATCATTGCTGAGCACGTGGTGGTTTCAGAAGTGATCTTCCAAAATAGTTTCCGACCCTGATTTAGTCAACAGATACTTCACTGAGCCCCGAATCTGTGCCAGGCCCTTGCTTGGCACCAAGCACATAACAGTGAATAAGACAAATCTTGCCATTCCCCAAGACTTCTCATCCTCAGACTTCAGAGTTGGAGCTCAAGATGGGAGCGGCCCCAGAACAGTTGTCCCAGGGATATGCTGGAGCCGGCTCCTGCCATTTCTTAATAAATGTTCAGAATTATGCATGCTGGTCGTTTAGCCATAGTGGTTTGAGCTCAAACCAGGGGGGAGTACACGCTGCAAGTCAGGACCTCTCCCCACCTGGAGCCAACGTGGCCACTCGTTAGCCTATACAGAGCTAACAAGGCGAATGTGGCCCTGACAGATGCAGCCAGCTGCTTCAGCACCATACCACATGGCCTCATGCTTTCACATAAGCAGTCTCCATCCTTCACTGCTGCTAAAACTCCCTTTTAGTTTCACGCTAGAAAGGCCGCCAGTTAGAGACTTACTCAAAACACTTGCCTGTTAGCAGGTCCAAATTGGTGTTGACAGCCCGATGGGGCTAGAGGGGGGCATACTCATCCAGTTCATTCTGTCACGTGGGCATCAGCAGTTAAGCTTTGTAGAGAGCTTGTAGATTGTTTCTTGAAGACACAGACCTGCTCATTGATTGCCATCCTGGTGTTGGGAGGTTGAACAAAGCAAAAGCATGTGTTTGGCTAAGCTGTCCATGGAGTGACTCTTCCATGTGTTGAGAGAATAATTCAGTGTTGATAGCTGTCAACAAGATCTTCCACTCTGAATAGATATAATGACTTGCTTTTTAACCCAACACATTGTAATGCCCAGTCTCCCTTTGGTAACTGCTTTGGAATTTGGGGAAGATTTGAATTTTCTCAGCCGCGAAGAATAAAGAATTTGACCAAAGGATCCGTTGACCTCCTCGTGTTTAGTGCCAAAACCCTAAACACTTAGCCTCCGGAAGGGGGCAGTGTTGCTGGGCCACACTCTGCCACGGTAAAGGCAGCCGTGGTGAAGATAGAAGGTTTCGTACCAATAAACTTGGCTGACCTCTTCAAATAACAGTTTTCTCTTCTCAGTGTGATTCAGAAGGACATTAAATAACTAGATTCATGCGCCCCTTTCCCAGTGAGAACTCTTTTGCCTGTTGATGGATCTGGGGGGTGGGGGGTTGTTGCTGTTATTGCTAACTAGTGAATCTCCTTGAGTTGGAGAATTGAGTTATGTGAGTCTCATCCTTATGTATGAGGCCTGAGAAAATTGCACTCTGAACTATTCAAGTGTGCTATTTGTTGCTTATTATGTTATTTGGTGGCACTAGGGCTGTCCCCATATGGCCCCAGGTGTGTTGGGCCATACCATGATAGTGAGTGATGACCTCTAAAATCAGATTAGCTGGAAGGCATGTCGCCCTCCATGGAGAATTCTAAAATCGCCGTCTCTTCCAAATCTGAGCCACGTCCATGGCCACTTCTTGATAGTGAAGGAGGAGAAAATGATCAACACTAACATTCAGAAGGCACAGGACTCGGAAAGTGAACATGGTTCCACCCATCCCCCGGCCTCCAGTCTCTGCGAGTTCCCTGGGACTCCTCAGGGGGCCTCTCCCGCTTTTGAGAGTAGGAATTTCTATTTTTAAATAACTCCCTCAGTTGGGAGGGATGATGGAGCATCAGAACTGAGAGTCAGCAGTGAGACTCTGCACACATATCCCTCTGAAAGCACAGGGCATCTTTTGGGGTCAAAGCCAACTTAAGTTCTTTACAGTTGGGGTTATTAGGCTTGATGGGAAGGATGACTTTGGAAGTACCTGGTTCCTGTTCTTTCATTTCTCTCCTCACTTCTCTTTTTAGACTTGGTTAAGAAGTTACATAAAGCTGTTCCAGGCCCCGTGCCAGCGCTGCGGGAAGTTTCTGCAAGATGGCCTTCCCCCCACGTGGCGGGACTTCCGAACCCTTGAAGCCTTCCATGACACCTGCCGGCAGTAGCCCCACCCCTGGTTCCAGCCCCATCCCTGGCCCCAGCCCCAGCCTCAGCCCCATTCCCTGCCCCAGACCGGCCCCACCCAGAGGCATCACAGAACGAAGGATACTGATGGCTGACAACATTCCTCACTGCCCAAGTATCAGTACAGCCACTCTCTCCTTTCACACAACAGTGTGTGCTAAGGCCAAGCCTGTTGAAGAGCAGACTCCATTTCTGTGTTCGATGGGACCGAAGGCTAGACCCCTTTCTAGCACCTGCTGTGAGGAGGTCGCACAGCATGTTTCTCGTCCGTGTGGGTTGGCAGTACTGGCCAGCTGCCCCCAGCTCTGTGTGTGGAGTCACTTCCATGAGCTGTTACTGGAATGGGCCCCTGTGTTTATACATGCCTTCATGTGGGATTTGTTTTCTCTTTTTTTGTAACTTATTTTTATAAGCAATAAACCTTTTATATCAGGATGGGGCTTTGTCTCCCATTTCTTACAGCACTTTTGACATTCAGTTCTTGGCCTTGTGAGTGCATCTGAGCCTTTTGAAGAAAAACGTGGTGACACCCGTGTTTACCACGGCTCTTTTTGAGGATGCTCTTCCCTATGTCTTGCTTTCAGAGGAGCGGCCAATGCCGCACATACTCCATTTCAAAGACATTCTGCTGGCTTGAAAAATGGATTGTTCTTTTTGAGGAAAAGAGCACACAGAAGTTTCTTTTCACCAAACTAGCAGCACACAGCACGCCACAGGGAAGGGGCTGCCTAGCTGCTGGCTAGACACATGAGCAGGACCCACAGCCTGTTGGCTTATCTGTCCCATGTTTTATCCTGAATGTTAACTGGGAATCAGCTCTAGCCCAGTCTGCCAAGTTTGTTCCATGGCTCACACCAGATGTTAAAGCTATACCCTGTTCCTGTGAGGATCACTGACCTAGTGGAGACCTTGAGAAAGGTGGGGGTATTGCCCAGAGCTCTCCCAGCCCAGGCTTCGCTAGAACCAAATTCTCTTCACAACAAACACTATTAGGAGAGATGCTGCCTTCTGAGATATCCAAAAGAACTAGGGGGTTCCAACCTGGGTTCTGGTACCCAGACCATTCCTCCTCCCCTCCCCATGCTGAAGGACCCAGAGGATAGACCCAGAAAACTGATCTCTGAGGACCACGGGACTCCTTCAGGTGTGGTCCTCAGACCAACAGAGTCACTTATAGAAATACAGATCCTCAGGCCCAGCCCAGGCCGACTGAATCAGATACCCAGGGGGACTCACACCCAAGGACCTCTGCCCTAGGAGAGATGGCCCCTCCTCAGACCTACCCCAGGCCTACCAAATCAGATACCCAAGGGAGCTCATGCCCGAGGGCCTCTGCCTTAGGAGAGATGGCCCCTCCTCAGGCCCACCTCAGGCTGACCGAATCAGATACCCAAGGGGGCTCATGCCCGAGGGCCTCTGCCTTAGGAGAGATGGCCCCTCCTCAGGCCCACCTCAGGCTGACCGAATCAGATACCCAAGGGGGCTCATGCCCGAGGGCCTCTGCCCTAGGAGAGATGGCTCCTCCTCAGACCTACCCCAGGCTGACCGAATCAGATACACAAGGGGGCTCATGCCCGAGGGCCTCCGCCCTAGGAGACATGGCCCCTGTCTCAATGCCCACTTGGGGCAGTGTAGGGGACAGCATGGTTTAGCTTGGGATGTGCCTTTATGGAGCACATCAATGGATCAGATTGGATGTTGCAGTTAGCCAGATTCAAAATGCCAAAGCTCATAAAATGCACCACTATATTATGAACCACTAAGAGAAACACACTGCCAATTAAACCCAGACCCCAGCGATAACCCTGTGTGACGTGTAAATCAGTCGCACCAGCCTTTCATTGGTTTCAAATTTCTTTGATCTGTTCCAAAGGGGTGGCACTTTCTCATGCCTTACATCTCACTATGACCTGTGCCAGGCGACCCCTTGGCACGACTCCCAGGACAGACCGCACTGCTCCCCCTCCCATGTGCTTGCCCTCCTTTCTTGCTGCTTTGCAAGAACATATGGAATTGAGGATCTCAGGTGTGATAACATTTTGTCTCAATGTGGCGCATCCTTTTGAAGACATTGACATGGCAAGTAAACTGACCCATGCAGTACTAACCGTGTGCACAGCTCACGTGCAGTGGTGACAGTGTGACCAGCTATGACCAAGCTGGAGCATGTGCAGATAGGGACAAGCATGTCGTGACTGCCAGTTGGCAGGCAGCATCCCGCAGAGATGTTCAAATGTGGAAAAATACCCATCTGAGATCGATGAAGTTCTGGTCGTGGGAAATCTCACTGTGAGGAAGCTGTCTGGATTTTTAACTGTTTGAGTGCTCCTGGTCTGAGGCCATGCCCAGTGGCACCAAAGGTCTGTCTGACTCCTGCCAGTCTCCACCATCAGAAAAGAGAGCAGCTTGGGTCCGGAGCTTCACCCGAGCGCTGTCTCTGCTTGGAATTTCATGGCATTGTTTGTCATCCCTGTGTCATCTTTAGAGGTACCTTCTATTTGGGGCAAATGATGCCTGTTTCCCATTTACAGGAGTGATATAAAACATTGATTTAAAAAGTATTCAGGTGAAAAAGTGTGACTGTTACAGAAAACCATTAAATGAGTAATAGCCCAGGAAGAGCATGGCTCTGGCCAAAAGTGTGAGGGTGGGCAGGTACGGGGCGGGGCTGGGGGGGACGCCCTGCCTTCTGCCACCAGTGGTGGGAGCCTGGAGAAGTCAGTTCCTCTGTAGAGCCCCCGTCCTCTGCTACGACATGCCAGGCGCATAACCCAGCAGGGTACAGGGGAAGGGGCTGGGTGTGGGGACCCCATGATGCCTGCTGTTCTGTGTTTCTATTTTTAACATTCCCTAATTTAAGAGGACGGTAGGAGAGACACAAGGCCTGGCCAGTTAAGCTGTAAAGCTTTTCCATCTCTGATGGTCCCCATCTTCCGTTCTGAGAGGGGAAGGCTGGGAGGGAATATGTTTGAAGTCCAGGAAGGAGAGAGGCTTGTTCACCCAGTACCCATGTGATTGGCGCTTCAGGAGACGAGCATGACAGACACTGACTATGTGTCACCCGCGGAAATAGAATGTGCTGACCCAGAGTTGGCACAATCGAGGGCCAAACTGGATTGGGGTCACTTCCAAGATCATGAGTCAGGCAGAACGCTAGGAGACCTAGTGCTATGAGAACAGTCAGTGGGTCCTGGAACCACTCTTTGGTACCTTTCACTGACAGGGAGGTGTCCCCCATGGGTGCTGCACGGATGGGGTCAGAATGTGACTCAGATGGTCCAAACCTCTAGATGTCAGTGTGACTTAGTGTTCCCACAGCTCAGCACCGACTGCACCAGGTGCTTTATGTCACAGTCTAATTTAATCCCAGGTGAGCATGTGGTGGTCCCTGTTTGAGAGAAGAAGATGTAGCAGAAAGTGTCACACATCAGCCAGCAGAAGGGCTTCATCCTCCTCAGAGGACAGGCCCCCACGCTGCCCAAGCTGCCATGTCAGACCAGCCACATGGCACCTCTGTCTCCTGGATGCTTCCCTTGGCGGTGACTGGCAGGGACACCATGGTCTCGTGCTTTCTGCTGGCTGGGTTACTGTGAATCGCCCAGTAGGGACTGGCAGAATGGAGTGAGGAGGTCTGTGAAAGGTGGTCCAGATTTTTTTTCTGAACTAAATTAGGAAGTGGCCTTTTGGTATCGAGTGATGTTTTTACACTTCACACCACTGACTGCATGAAATGATGATCTTTCGGTGTTAATGTGCAAACTCGCCATTGCATTTAGAGTGTCAGCGTGTGGGCCTGATGCTAAATCGAGAGTCTTTTAAGGTCACCCTAGTTGGGAGAAGTGACGACAGCTTCAGCCACCATGATTCTCAGCAGATCTGGAACCCTGCAAAGCTGCTGGGGGTACCGCAGTTTGGCCATCAGGTCTATGAACAGAGACAGAAAACAACTTGCCCTTCTAGTTAGTCAGTGCGGGGTGCTGAAGATGACGTGGGGGTAGGCCGGTCCTGGGCCCGACAGGAAAGGGTGAGCCAGTTCCATCGCACCTGCCTTGTGAGTTCATGCCGGGCCTTGCGATGTGTGCGTGTTGCAGACAAGCCTAGCAGAATGCCGTGAAGGTGCCTCGCTGAGTAATTAGGCTTCACTCTCCAGGACAAGCAGGCAGGCTCTGTCCCCAGCTCTGCCACTCCTCCCTGTCCCTCCTCCCCACCCAGCTCCTTAAATTAGGGGAAAGGAACCTCAGAAACTCACTCTCAAGTTGAATTTTAAATTGCAGGTTGGCAGCTCCCTGATACTAGTACTTGAAGAGCCCAGCCTTGGAGTTCACAAGCACATCCAGGTAAAGCACCGTCTTGGCAGCTCTGAGATGATTAGTTACTCAGGAACAGCTCCAACCTGTCTCTGTGCTAATTGAGTTTGAAATTTCAGCTGGAGATTGACTGTCCTCGGGGACAGTGTGAGCTGCAGTTTGGCACTAGGGGAACAAGGCAGGTCCTGCTGGCAGCGGGCTTCATCGGCATCATGCTTCTCCCAGGCTTAACAGAGGCAGTGACCTGTCCCTCCAAGAGAGAAGGGGCAGGGGAGTAGGGGGTACCAAGGCAAGGGGGGACAGAGAGAGAACAGGAAGAGGCTGCAAGCTTGAGAGCCAGCCAGACGGCAGCCAGCCTTCGTCAGCACCCACAGCGCTCACACCCTGCACTATGGGTGGATGGACCGTTACCTAATGCATTACTCATCTCAGTCTTGGCTCTCGTCTCAATCATAGGCTCGCTTTCTTAATTACAGAAGGAATCCATATGTTCCTTTTGTAGAAAATGAGGTAATGCGAATAAGCAAAGCAAAGCAAACGACAGCCGCAGTGCCCACCAGTGAGCGCACTCACCTCCCAGACCCTTATATGGACATGCACACTTTTTGCAAAAAATGAGATCATTCAGTACACTGTTTTGAAACCTGCTTTTTTTCACTTAGCAAAGGATAAGCTTCTGCAACACAGAGGCCCAAAAATACAGTGGCATAAAGACTATGGAGTAGACGCTGCTCCTTCACTTAAGAGCTCTGGCGGGAGTGGATGGTTCTGTGCCAGGCAGTCACTCAGAGACCCTGTTCCTCCCATCTTAGGACACAGTCGGGGGAACCCAGACCCAGCCTGGGCCCTGCCCTCAGTCTCTCCTGCATCTCATCAGCAGGAGCGCTGAGCAGTAGGGGCTCCTGGGAAGTGTGGTCTCTGGCTGGGCAGCTGCAGTCTGGCTGAGTCTCTCACTCTGGCCCAGGGGAGAACCTTTCTGATGGATAAGCAGCAGCACCCACCACGTGACTTGTCCCCAACCCCACCTCCCTCAGGAATGTGCATTAGTGCTGCTGTCCCCGGGGGCTGCTTTGTCTGTCCTTCAGTTTTATGCCACAGTGGTGTTCCTCTCTTTGGTGATCA